ACAGTTGATCTGTATTTAGAGCTTGGTTTTATTATAAGATCTACCATGTGCAGACCAGTCATGAAGCTGCCAGTTGTTTTGTTTCGTTTTGTTTAGTGGGTATTCTACTGTGGCTTTGTAGTTTGACATGAAGTGGGTAAAGATATAATTTAACATTACAACATACAGGCTTGCTTTTGTAATTACATTTGTCTGATCAGCCAGCTGCACAATCCTAACTTTAATGGTAGCTTTTCAACTAAAGCCCAAAGGCAGAGGTGGGTAACATCATACTTGGAAAGGCAGGGATTGCAAACAAGGTATCTCAATCATGAGAAAGACTGAACACACATGAAGTTGCCTTATACTGAATCAGACCATTTGTCCATCAAAGTCAGTACTGTCTACTCAGACTGGCAGTGGCTCTCCAAGATATCAGGCTGAGGTCTTTCACATCACCTACTGCCTGGCAATGTTCCCTCTGATCTCCACAGTGTTGTGAGAAAAAATTCTACCTTGTGAGTGAAAAAAGCTAGTAGCATTAAAGTTGTAAGTCTAAATTGGACTATTGTGTAAATTATTTTTAGATTATTTACATAACCTTGTAAAAATCTCAGAATGAATTCTTTTAAGCTATAATTTATATTTTTAAGAAAAAATTATATATTACAAGAGAAAACAGAATCATTAGACAAAATATTGTTCTCTACAGGGCCTGAGCAGTCATGTCCAATAGGGAGAACACGTGCGGTGTAGTGGTTAGATTCAGTTTAGAAATCTTGATACTAATCTGCATTTAACACCCAAGTTTAGTGGGTGTTCTTGGGTCGGCCACTGTCTCTCTTGGTCTGCCCTACTTCCAGGGTTGCCAACCTCCAGGTGGGTTACAGGTCAAGTATAACAGAAGAGGAACAATCACTGTCAGAACCCTGCCTAACCTAACAAACAGGAAGTTGCTTATATGTTATCAACCTGCCCAAACTACTTGTTTATTCAAATACTTATATCCCATTTTTCCCTGTGACTCAAGGCAGCTTACAAATCATACTGAAAAGCATGATAGGGGTGTGTAAAAAAAAAAATCAGTTTTTTTCCCCTGGCTCAGTTATAACCTAAGGGGGCCATTATAGTCAATGGTCTCATAGGCTATAATGGAGAATTGATCCAGGGGTACCTGGTGCTCGGGAGGGCTGTTTTGTGTGTGTGTGTGTGTGTGTGTGTGTGTGTGTGTGTGTGTTTGAAGCAGAGACACCAAATAAGTTTCAAAAAGATTGGACTAGGGGGTCTAATTCTATGGGCCCCAGAAAGAGATGCCTCCATCCTCCATTGTTTGTGAGCTGAAGCAGAAATCCTCTGAGCTGGCTTCCGAAATGCTGTGTGAAAGTGCCCCCTAGTGCATCTTAGAGAGAACTGTACTGCCTGGTCCTTTTAACTGGAGATGCCAAGGTGTGAACCTGGGACCTTCTACATGCAAAGCAGAGGTTCTTTCACTGAGCCACACCGTGGATATATAATCACACATGACAAGGACTTAATTGGTTACATTTCTCAGTCCACTTTTACATAGCCCTGACTTTGCAAAACATGGACTATATCCAGAGAAGTAGCAACAGTTCTGATTTCCTACCAATCCATAACATTGACACAAGCCAGAACAGAAGGAATCCACCTAAATTACTTTGCCGTTTAGATTTCAATGGGTAAGAATATATAGTTTTGCATGGCTAGGACATTCATCATTACAGGCCTTTCTTTGTATCCCCCCACCTTGAGATGTGAGATGGGTTGCACTCGAGAGAGCCTTTTCATGGGTGGCCTTCCTGCTTCAGAATGCTCCCTTTCCCTTCACCTAGTGCCTTCTCTTGAAATATTTCAGTGCCAGGCAAACCGTTTTTTCTTTTAGGTTTAATCATTCTTTCCCCTTAACTCTTTTCTTCTACCGCACAGAGGTTAATCTCAATCGCTATAAGATGTCCCTAAAATATTATGTATTACCCTGCATTAAGGTTTTGTGTATGTCCATCCCAGTTTCAGCACCGAACCTTTGCAAAGGTTAGCTTGCAGAGCACGCAAGCTGTAAGGGACCCTTGTTTAGATTTTGTATCTTAGCTCTATAAGAGCCACACTGCAGGTAATAAGGGGGAATCCAGAGCTTGTCTTCCTACGTTGTTTTGTTTTACTCAAATGTAGCAGAGGTGCATGGCTAAAGGTGGCAGAATGGAGTGTTGAACCATTCCCGCTCTTCTGTTTTCCTAATCTAACAGTGCAATCCTAACAACATTTTCTTGGGAGGAATTTGTGCAGACCTCCTTAGGGTTGGTCTCTGAATTGTCCCCACAAAGCTGCAGCTAGCTCCAAGGTGGGGACAGGGAAATATAAGCAAACATCAAGAGCAACTTGAGGTAAGGATTAACACCACCTCACAGAGCTTGTGTGGTGGCTCTTACTCGTACATTTAGGGGCAGACATACTCCCATATTAAGTCACAGGTACAAAGATTATTTTTTGTTTTTTGTTCTCCAATGACAAATTGACTTCCCCTGCAGTTTGCTATGCCCCACGCTTGCAGGAGTCCTCTCACTTCAGTTTTGCTGTAATTACTTCCTCACCCATGTCTTTCAGAGCCTCTCCTGAGAGCAGTATGGTTTACTCTCAAAGGGCTTCCTAAAGGAATCCGGTTTCATTGAAGCAACAAAGTCATCTCACTTACTCAACACAGCCTCTCATTTGGTTCCCATGGCAACGATTTGCTGTTCACTCCTAACTCCTCATGAGGGTGTCTTTATTACAGGAAAACTCCACCCTCCTACAATATTGATTCTTTCTCTTTTTTAAAAAAAATTACTGTATAAACTCTTGGTTTATCTCCAAAGATTTTCCCATTAAGTTAGCAATAATGAAATCCCATACCAGATGATTCTGTTATTGGGTGCAAATTACATATGCTTAGGAAATTATTTCTAATGGAACCCCCCCCCCCAATTCTTTCTCAGAGTCCTTGTAGTTTTCAAACATCCATTTTACAGCTATCTTTCCATGAAATATTTTAAGCATTAACCTGTAAAACACAATCTTAATTCAATTACTCAGATGGATCTTCAGGTTTTAACATAATTAGGAGAAAAGAAATGCAGGCCAGTATCGATTCATTCTGTCTTTTTACCTTGGTGGAAAAGCCCATCTGCAAATAACCTCTCTCTTTCTCTTTCTTTCTTTAGGGGGCTGGAAGTGCAAGGTCAATTCAACTTGAGAAAGTGCCAAATGATTTCATTTCCTTATGTAACCAGAATTGCCTTGCATGACTTCCCTACTCTTCTATGCTTTTAATTTTCTTTCTAGTCCCTGGCCTGGGTGCTGCTTTCTAATTCATACTTGTATAAGAAGCCAACCTGTTATCACAGCATTTTACTACTATCAAGGCATACATCAGCTATATGTGCAGCAGATGGAAAATGTAAGAAAACAAAATTGTGGATCTGTCTTTTTTCCTGATTCTTTCTTTTAGTATTAGACATTGTTGTATGTACTAAACTTTAAATCTTGTCTTAAAAGATGCACACTTAATTTTAGCATTAGCTGAAGTCTAAACCTATTTTCTCTTTTGCAACAATGAGATAAGAGCGACAAGTAGGGAATGAGAGAATTTCTCATACATGCTATTTAGAGCTGTCTAAGGAAAATGGAAAAAAATATGCACTTTCCTTGGACAAGGTACAGGAAGCCAGAGGCTAACTTGGAAATACCTGTGTAATAAGCTTCCTGCAGTGGGCCTCCAAAACGAAGCCAGATCCCACCAAAGGCAAGAGTCCATGCTCTCTACATGACACAGGACCTTCAAACATTAATATTTCAGATTTGGCTGGATTTAGTTACAGTCAGCTTTTTCAGATCCAGTCCCCCAACTATATCAAGTCTCCGTAGAACTATACTGAAGCTAGAGTATGGAGTTTAATTATACAGGAATGGAGGACATAAAATGGACATTTATTGGAGCCCAAGGGAGACTCCAGTACTTCCTGCATTTGACCAACAAACACCAGATAATCAGCTATAGCAAAAGGCTCAGAAATACTGGGAAAAGACTGATGAAAGACTCAAACTTTTCTGTCTTAAAATAATTGCCATTAGGTTGCCAACCCCCAGATGGGGCCTGGAGTTCTCTAAGAATTACAACTGATCTCCAGACTACAGAGATCAGTTCCCCTGGAGAAAATGGCAGCTCTGGAGGGCGTGCGCTATGGGATCCTGTCCCTGCTGAGCTTTCTCCCCTCCCAAAAACTCCACCCTCTCCTGCTACCAAATATCCAGAAATTTCCCAACCCAAAGCTGGCAATCCTAGTCAGCCACAGTAGACAAGCCTCACTTAGCCTCTTCGTCCCATCAGTAATAAGGAGTTTAAAACTGCCAAATTATACCTCTCACCATGGAATTTTCAGGCATGCTAACAACAGGATGCCATTTAACTGACATGGCTTAACTTATGTAGCTGCCCTCAAGGCTACATATTTTATGTTCGGAGCTCTCTGTTTGACTAGCAGAAGGGATTAGCCTACTCTTGTTCCCTGCAGCAGTTGAGCCATTAATTTTTATTGTATCTGCACTTGTACCTCACCTTGCCTAACCTGGTCTTCTTATTTCCATCTGTATTGGGATTCTGCTGTACCTGATTCAGCAGCTGCCAACACATTGTATCAGCCACTTCAACTCTTGACAAGGGCAACGGAATAGTGAATTCTGTTTCTCACTGCTAAAAGTCCTTTGCCCATATCTTCCCCACCCTTCCCAGATCTACTCACATAGATTCACTTACATATTGTATACTTTTAGGACTACAGTATGGTCCCTGTGAGGAATCTTAAAAAACCCAGCTATTTTAAGGTAACAATTAGAAAAATTAAAAGTTACATTTTTGTATTAAATTGGGTACCAAGAAGGAAAAGCAATTCAAATAATATGTATCTTGTCAAAACACTGGATGCATCGTTTGCCTCACCCTGTTTTCTCTAAACTCTAGCACTTACTGATGGCCACAGCTGTAATAAGTTTAACAGCAAGGTCTGGGATTTCACACTGCATAAACAATGGTTCCAGAATGTAGCGTCCAAATGCCAGGGATATCACTGAGGTGGCAGCCGGGCTAACAACAGAGAAAAAGAAGGAAACTGTCATTTTACTAATGAACAGGAATACCATTTTATACATGTCTATATTAACTGCTAGCTACATCAAATATATTGCATGCAACAAATTACCTCATGGGCTTAATATACAAAATATACAAAAATATCAAACAGTTTGATAGCTTTATACAAAGCAGAAATCATAATAACTGGGAAATAACCTGTAAAAGAATATATAAAAATAAAAAACAGCAAAATGTCCAGCCAAACTAACAATTTATTGACGACAATTTTTCCCCTCTGTTTCTTCATTGGAAAGCAGAAGTAATGGCTGGCGTGATGCAGTACCATACGTCTGAGTCACCGGGTTGTTGGTTTTTTTAATCCCTTCATAATCTTGAGCCTTTCATGAGCCTCACTTCTATGTCTTTTACAGATAAAGTCACCAAGCCTTGAAACCAGGGGAAAGGTCTATTGTTTTGAGAGAAAATTAATTGTGCAAGTAGTTGCCGCAGAAAGAGAAAACAAATTACAGAAAAAGCACCATTCAAACAAGAAAGTAACTCCACCCTTAATAAGTACAATTCAGGATTGATACAACTCTTCACTTTAGGGTTTGTTTCCACACCCAGCCCCATTCCTTTCCACTCCTGCCACACTCCTGCTACTATCTGATCTTCCTTTACCTCCTATCTATTACTAGTCAAGCCCAGGTGAAACAACAGGTGAAAGAAAAAAATGAAACAAATACTAGTATTATATGGGATGGTGAAAGTAAGCTGTACCCTACACTTATTGGTCTGTGAGTGATACATTCCAGGTCTACAATTATTCCCAGCTTGTTTACATCCCTGTGCAAGCTGCACATTTTGTCCTCAATACTAGCAAATGCAATGCCAGTCATTGCTAAACCCCTGGAAGTTGCTGCAATATGGGAATGCTAAACATGGTTTGCCTGATTATTTGGAAAATCAAACTGTGATTTACATTGCAAATGATGCTCAGTACAAACCATGTATTTGTATACATGGTGGCCTGGAAACATACACCAAGATGAAACAGAGCCAAAAAAATGGTTCCTAGCAGCAAAGGACAAGTCTGAACTTGCTATGTTGGGGAGGTGGCTTTAGGGCATCTGTCAGACTAATAGTTTTTCCCCCATCCGAAACAAAGAGATATTTCCCTCGGCTTTGGAGCCCACAGGAAAGAAGATCTCCTCCCAGGTACAAAACCCTATCACCTGGCTCATCCCTTCCTGGTCAAATCATTCTAATCAATAGGCTATTCACATAACTGGGTAACCTTTTTTCTCCAGCAATCAGGGATCATCAGTGGATCATTAACTTCTCATATTCCTAGCCACATTCCAACAAAAACATTAACAGTTCCTGTTTGCACCAGGAAATTTATTCATCCACACAAATGCAAAGTATGACAATGTATTTGTCTTCTCCTGGGAATGCTACTCAGAGTTTCCCCTGCACATTGTTCTGGTCCCAGTTAATCCCTTCAGTACATTGTTTCAAGGGGCAAACACGTCACCATGCCCTGAGGTATCATTTTGCCCTATATCTGGACAAGCATTTCTCCATTGCAGTGTGTCTATCCTGGGCACCTATTCACAGGTCACCCCCAAATTCATTTGGCACCTTTCCATCTTCATGGCCCCTTCTCCATGGACGTCTGCACATCTGGAATGGCAATTATAACTCCCAAAAGCCTCCTATGAGTCCCACTCATCTCTGTATTTCCAGTACTTTTGTGTATGTTTTAGTTTTATTTCAGTATGTGTGCATTTTATTAGAATGTTTTCATTTAATAAAAACAACCCTTTTGGTTAAGCAACAGACTGGTTATTTGAGAGTTCTGTAATGGAAAGATCTCACTAGATTACCCCCCTCCTGCAAACCCTGGTCTCCTTGCTAATTCCCCAACTCTAATAGGAGACAATCCCACTTGTGGGATGACACAGACCATTTGGAGTAACAAAACCACTATATCTCAGTCTACCTCTGTCACAGTCAGTCATTAAACCCTGGTCCATTTGTGGGTAGGCATGATTGCCCGTATGAGCCTTCACCATCTTGCAGAGGCCACTCTGCCCTTTGACTTACTATGGAACTTGGGGAGATGAAACAATGAGTATAAATGGAGGAGAACTCAAAGGAAATACAACTCAACACAGGTTAGAACTCACCTTTGGGTGTATTTTATGGCAGTGGTGGCAAGGAAGCATTTATACTTCTTTGCCACCAGTGAATCTGTGTAAAGCATTCTAGCTGAGCTCTTCATCAAGCCCCCTGGTTATGGAAGATGCGGAGGCTAGCTGTGACTTGTTTGCTAAACATTTCACTGATAAAATTTCTTATATCCATGACAATACAGATGCCAGTAATTCTGTTGCTCAATCATAGGATGTTATCAGGGCTTGGACAAGCCACTATGGCTTTTAGATATTGTAGCCTGAGGAAGTGAATAAATGGCATAGAGCAGTGCTCAACCCTTCCCATCAAAGCTAACCGGTTATATCTTGCCAGTGGGGATGTGTTTGGGAGTACTGAATACTTGATTGAAAGGGGGCTAACGCCAATCACCTTGTGGGACGTGGCTGTGAAATCTCTCTGGAGAAACCACCTGTGGTCTTTAAATAACTATAATTCAGTAGCAAATATCCCTTGAGGGAGTGAGATACTCAAGTGTGTGATAACTGTGCAAGTTTTCTAGGATTAGGCAGATTATAAACCAGTTTTAATTAATTTCCAAATTGATTTTGGAACTGACATGGCTTTGGTTACCTTGATGCATGGATGACCTCTCTCTGATTCTCCTTGACTTCTTGGTGACTTTTGTTCCCATTTATCATGCCATTCTCCTGGACTGATTGGCCAAGATAGGTATAAAGGGAACCAGGTTCCAGTGTGGAGTATCATAAGGTTCCACCTTATCTCCCATGCATTTTGGAGCCCACAGAAGGAAAAGCACCCAGGATTGTGATTTGGAGTGTAAACCTAAGTAAAGGGTTAAGTAACCCCTCCCTACTTATTTGCCCAGAATTCCAGTCTCTTCAAACTGACTTCTTTAGATTCTGGGAATTCTCCCCAATGTTTATATAAATACTGAGGTATAACACAGGACAAACTTTTGTTGTAATTGATAGTGGAAATCAGAAATCCATTCACAGTTAATGCAGAGGAAGAGAGAGATTTTCAGTGAAAACCCTAAACATGTTTACTAAGGATTCTACTCAAGACTATCAGCGGGGCTGACTCCCAGGTAAGTGTTCTAAGGTGAAGTTAAATGGGCCTTAGAAAGCATTACTAACAACAAAGCTAGTGGAGGTGATGGTATTCCAGCTGAGCTATTCAAAGTCTTAAAAGATGATGCTGTTAAAGTGCTGCACTCAATTTGCCAGCAAATTTGGAAAATGCAACAGTGGCCACAGGATTGGAAAAGGTCAGTATACATTCCAATCCCAAAGAAAGGCAATGCCAAGGAATGTTCAAAATATTGCACAATTGCACTCATATCACACGCTAGCAAGTGATTGGTTTAGCATAGGAAAAGGAGTACGACAAGGATGTATATTGTCACCTTGCTTATTTAATATATATGCAGAGTGCATCATGCGAAATGCTGGCCTGGATGAATCACAAGTGGGAATTAAGATTGCTGGAGGAAAGATCAACAACCTCAGATATGCAGACGATACCACTCTAATGGCAGAAAGTGAAGAGGACCTAAAGAGCCTCTTGCTCAGGGTAAAAGAGGAGAGTGCAAAAGTGGACTTGAAGCTCAACATCAAAAAAACTAAGATCATGGCATCCGGCCCCATCACTCCTTGGCAAATAGAAGGGGAAGTCATGGAAGTAGTGACAGACTTCACGTTCCTGGGATCCCAGATCATCGCAGACTGTGACAGCAGCCATGAAATTAAAAGATGCCTGCTCGTTGGGATGAAAGCGATGGCGAACCTAAAAAGCATGATAAAAAGTAGAGACATCACCCTGCCAACAAAAGTCCGCATGGTCAAAGCAATGGTATTCCCAGTAGTCATGTATGGCTGCGAGAGTTGGACTATAAGGAAGGCCGAGCGCCGAAGAATAGATTCTTTTGAACTATGGTGCTGGAGAAGACTCTTGAGAGTCCCTTGGACTGCAAAAAGATCAAATCAGTCAATCCTAAAAGAAATCAACCCTGACTGTTCCCTGGAAGGCCAGATAATGAAACTGAAGCTCAAATACTTTGGCCACCAAATGAGAAGGGAGCACTCACTGGAGAAGACCCTGATGCTGGGAAAGATTGAAGGTCAAAGAAGACGGGGACGGCAAAGGATGAGATGGTTAGACAGTGTCATCGATGCAACGAACATGAAATTGAGCCAACTTCGGAGGACGGCGGAAGACAGGAGAGCCTGGCGGGAGATTGTCCATGGGGTCGCGAAGAGTCGGACTCGACTGTGCGACTGAACAACAACAATTAGACAACTATAGTACACCTCCCAAGTCATATGGCAATTTTCATGGCAGGAAAAGAGTTTGTCTTTCTTCTCATGCACTATTTGCATCTCCTGGACAGACCATGTTAGTGTTTGATAATTAATTTAGTGTTTTCAAAATACTGCTGGGAAAGTGACACATTTGAAATGTCAAGCTCATAGTGACTTAGCAGTATTCTTTTGTCTTCTTTTTTATCAAATCACTCAGTACTACGGCTTGTTACGTCTGTGCATGTAGCAATAAGATCAGCCCATATGAGCTGTCAAGACTGGGGGAGGGAGGAAATGAGGAAACAAGCTTGTTCCACTTGAGTGAATTATGTTCAGTAATATGAGACAATCAGACACAGAACCAAGATAAACAGATCGAGAGGCTAAATCCCGGGCATATCATTTGATTACCTAGCTGGCCACTTAAGCTACATTTGTTTACTTAGCACAAATGTATGAAGTAATTCACACAACTGGACACTGTGTGATTGTTCACTGCAGGAGATTACCGGTGTAAATTGTACTTGACAAGATTGCTCCTGGTCAGCTAAGACTCCATCTAAAAATGTTATATCTCGGAGGGGGGGGGAGTGCTGCTGAACCAGTTTAGCCTGGTCTTCTCCTTTTCCACACAGGGAATATAATAGTAGAAGAAGCATAATATCTCCCAATTGTAGAGGGCAACCAAATGAATATAATACAGATTTCCACATTATACTGAAAGACACTGCAAAGGAAGTTTTGCATTTGTTCAAGAAGGGCCCAAATGAACAGACTCTGTGAGACCTCTGACAGTCACCATCTTCTTTCATTTCTTTTAGGGTACTGTCCCAAAACTCAGTCTACCCACCTGCAACCACCTATAGAGCTCCATGGGTCTATTGTACCAACCCACTAACTGAGTCAAAATATAAATCAGTTTTGAATTTTGAAATGTTACTTATGGAGCCTGGAGAGGGTGAGGTTTCAGGAGGTGTGGGATTTCGGACAGTGTACAAAGCCATAGACTCCACCCTCCAAACCAACTATTCCCTTCTGGGGAACCATCATTGCCAATCTCCAGGTGAGGACTGGAGATCACTCAAAATTACAACTGTCCTTTAGGTAGCAGAGATCAGTTCCTCTGGAGAAAATGGTGGACTCAGTGTCATTATACCCTGCTGAGGTCGCCACAGCAAATTAACACTGAGTGTCCAAGGCCGGGGCACCCACCCAGAGCCTCTTTCTAGAGGCCGTTGTATTTATTTCCACAACGGGCCTTTTTCCTAGTAAATACAATAAAACATAGATGCTTCAACAGAGCATCTTTCTGAGTCCCCATCATATATACAGAACCAGTTTGTATAAAACATTTCCCTAGAGCCAAACACATTACGGTTGAGGATAGGGTCATCAGTATGATCCTACAACCCTCCACATATTCATCCTATACATATTCTAAATATATCACAATGGCTATACTAGCATACTAGCCCTGCATGTATCTACCATGATTCTTGAGTCTGTATGCACAGGCTAATACAGCATTGTGCCTGTTCCTAGAAAAAAGTGGACCTTGCTTCAGCCACACATGTTTTAATTACAACCAAATTAGATTACTGTAACCTGATGAAAGTGGTGCTGCCTTTGAAACTTCAGTTGTTACAGAATTACTAATTTGTTTCTGGGCTCAATTAAAAGTGCTTATATTGACCCTAAAGTCCTAAATGGAGCCGTATCCATCTATAACAACCATTTTGAGTTCAGAGATCAGTGAACAGCATCTTCCTAGTGAAACCAGCTTTGTTCAACCTGAGTGGCACTAAGGAGTGCACCATTAGGACTGTACTCCTCAGTGCCACTCATCCAATTAGAATTCCTAGGGTAGAGCTAATGGATCCCAGCAACCAATAACATGTTTTCTGAATGCCTGGACTGCAAGGAGAGGGAATCAGTCAATCCTCAAAGAAATCACCCCTGACTGTTCCCTGGAAGGCCAGATACTGAAGCTGAAGCTCAAATACTTTGGCCACCAAATGAGAAGGGAGCACTCACTGGAGAAGACCCTGATGCTGGGTAAGATTGAAGGTCAAAGAAGACGGGGACGGCAAAGGATGGGATGGTTAGACAGTGTTATCAATGCAATAAACATGAAATTAAGGAAACTCCGGAGCTCGACAGAAGACAGGAGGGCCTGACATGATGTGGTCCATGGGGTCACGAAGAGTCGGACTTGACTGTGCGAATGAACAACAACAAACTGAATAGCATTCTGCTCTGAAAGACAGGTGACTATGGCAATTCTCAGTCCTGCTCTTTGAAAGATCATTTCTGTCCTTCTTCTCCTTAGTCTTAATTTATTTATTCCCTGCCTTTCTCCTTAATAGGGACCCAAAGCAGCTTATATCATTCTCCTCTCCTCTGTTTTATCCTCACAATAACCCTGTGATGTAACTTAGCCTGAAATTGTATGACTGGCCCAAGGTCACCCAGCAAGCTTCCATGGCAGAAGGGGGATTTGAACCTGAGTCTCCCAGACTCTAGTTTGATAAACATTTAAATTCTACACACAATGTCCCATTCCTAGAAAACTGAGAGGGTTCACTTTTCACATTAGCTAGGTGGGTATGAAAGAGCTTTCCCTCTGTTCTTGAGGATCCCGCAGGTGGACCTCCTAAAGTACCAATGTGAACCCCCAGGGGACCATTGACCCCAGATTGAGAAACACAGAGCCAAACTACATGTGATGATGGCCATGAGTCCAACCTGTGACCACCAACACCATTTTAGAAGCAAATTTAGCCATTTAAAAATTGCTGTGAGGTTCCAGTCCTATTACGGCTCATGGCAGGGTGGCAACAAATGATCTTGTTTCCTCCCTCTGAGCCGTGCTGAAACAGCCCCCCCCATGGGTTGGAGCCATGTCTGTCATAATATGTAGTTATAAATTATTTTGCATCACCAACAATCAAAATATTTTTGGAGGCAGCTAGGAGGAGCACGGGTTAAGAGACAAAGCACATTTAACTATGTCCACATACCTGCTATGTAAAAATGTTCTTTGCCTTTGTGCACTAGCAGTAAGATACAAAATGTAAACAAAGTTTACTTACCGTATGATGAGGAGCTCCACCCAGACTCTTACAAATGCAGGCAATGGGCCAAAGGCTTCCAGGATGTATGTATAGTGCCCTCCAGATTTCTTAATACTTGTTCCCAGTTCAGCATAACAGAGAGCACCTTCAAAAACATAGGTCATGTTTTTTTAAAAAGCAGATCAACTGTTTACCAAAAACCACTCTAATATATAGTTTTAAAATGGTCTCCTATTTGTTCTCAATAAACATTGTTTTCAAATATATTATGCTTTCTTCAGACCACTAACAAGTGTCCGCAAAAGTATTGTTCAGGATTTATTGTTATAAAAAGTTAAGGGATCTTATTGCAGACATCCCAAGTAAAGCCCAGTTTGGTCCTCAGATTTTTCTTGACCAAGAGCTTTCAGAAGGTGATCTTGGGACATGGCGGTTCATTATTTCCAAATACATTCAGCCACAGAGTCCTGAAGAGATCAGAAGCAGTAAGAGCAGTGGAACTGGTACCTTCTGTTTTAACAGGTTTAGGTTTGCACAAGACCAGAATATGCCAGATACCAGTTTTATCCAAAGATGGATGAAAATCTATATCAGTTACTTTTCATACTGGCACCCTCTTCCTTCAGATATTGACTAAACACAGGTAAATTGGCTGAAGGTATCCAGGTCTGCCTCTCTTCCCCCCCCCCCCAATTAACTGAGAACATGTAGTCTTAACGTTTGTTCAGTACTGACTGTATTTGGCACTGGATAAAGGAATTCCATTTGAATATTAATCCACAAATGATTAATAGCATCATGTCTGAATATAAATCTAAATATTATGTGGACTAGGGAAGCACAGCACTGAGGGGCTCACCTTCCTCAAATCTATAACACTGGTGTGCTGCTGAGTATCGTTTTTGAGGATGCCAACAAGAGCTCATGCTTTTATCAGGATAAAATGTTATCTAAAAGATACTGGTGATACGGTAGGAAATGAGAGTTCATCTCTCAATGATAAGGAGTTTGCCAAAGTGAAAACCAGGACTTCAGCCATTGCATTAGTTTCCTGTTGGAGTAAAGAAACACTCCAGTGAGCTAATTTTCACCTCTATTACCACTGGAATACATATACCTACATGCATATACCTAACATTTCTCTTAATCCTGAATGCACATCTATTTATCTATTATTCTTGTGAAAGCCAGAATGCATGATAATAATTTGTCTGAGAAAGATAGCAACCCTATATGAAAATTTTCCTCTTAAATTAACACTGCTTACCCTTATATAGAGGCCTTGGCTCAGTGGTAGAATGTCTACTTGGAATGCAGAAGGTCCCAGGTTCAATCTCTGGCATCTCCAGTCAAAAAGAATTAAGCAGAGGGTGACATGATTCCCTGAGGCCCTGGAGAGCTGCTGTCAGTCAGAGTAAACAGTACTGACCTTGCAGGATCAATGGTCTGATTTTGTATGAGGCTTGTGTAGAAGAATTATGTGTAAGCGTTACACAGCTATTTGTTTTTTATTTTAAAATTCTGTTATTAGAATTCTCTCTGCAAAGTCCATGGGGGAGACAAATGGAAGGTGGCAACGTTTCAAGGCAGCAGCAATACTATTGTAGTCAAAAATGTTCAGAGAGCATTAAGAAGACCTTTATGGGACAAATCTTTCTAACAGATTTTAGAACAAGCTATAAATGTTACAAAGTCCAAAAGCTATAAATGTTACAAATTCCAGAGCAGTGTATGTTTTCTGTTACTTCAGTCAATTAAAATGTAGCATAGATACAAATAAATTCTATCTTCTGCCTATAAAAATGTTATTGGTTTTGAGGCTAATCCCTAAAACGTCCCTCTAGACTCTTGTTGGAGCAATAACAATATGTTCAGCTTCTGAGGAAAATCTCTTTTGACTTGGTTCAACTGTATGTTTAGTAAGGGTGGATGAAGCCTTTTCTATGAAGTTCGAAGTGTGCAAGTTTACGCAGGCAAACATTCACGTGTTTGAAGTGGATATTTGACACTCGCTCACAGCACCCACAGTTCCTAATACCAGAAAATAAGTAGTCTGGGCTGATCATGATGCCAGTAGTCATGCGGGCCTTCGGCTTCCTTCAGATTAACTTATTAAAGTAGTCAAGGGACTCATTGTTTGGTATGACTGGTCTGAATGTAATTCTTTGTATTCTTTATGTTGATATATGGGGAAACCTGGTTTTTTTCTTTAAAGAAGCACAGTAATGTCAATTCTAAAACAGCCAGGCCAACTAGTAATAATGACTCTTAAGGCCTAATCTGAGAGCTCCACAACCTCCTTCACATGTCAGGATTCAATGCTGGAACTACCAACATAACAGTATTTCTGAGCATACATAAAGTATCCTGTTTTCACTAGTGAGTGAACTATATATTAAGGCACCATATTCTAAAGCATTAGTCTGTTGCAGCAATACAACCAGAAGACTGGCAGCACCTTAAATGCTAACAGATTGTGTCATAAACTTTCATGGACTAGAGCATGCGTCAAGAGGAGAGGCTTATGGGTCAGCATGCACAAGTTCCAGGCAGACCAGAACCTTTTCAATGGCCTTTTAACAATGTAAATTTTCTCACACCACTCCTGCCTTCTTTCCAGCAAACCATTCAGTAGAAGTTTACTCCATTTCATTTATCCAGTGGGAAACTGGGTCAGTCCAGGTACACATTTCACAGGTGTTCAGACTGAGTGGTTCCTCTCCCCAGCTGCCAATGCTCTGTGAGCATGCTGTAACTTGTTCAGAGCAGAAAGCCAACACAAATGGCAAGCTTTACGGTGCGATAAAGGAAACTCCTCTCTCCAGCTACTTCAGGGAATCATAAGCAATCCCATTTGAACTGTTCAGCAGAGTTTTGCATGACAACCTGTACAGTTTACAGCACCTGCCAAGCAGCAGAACAGCCTCCCAAATTCTGGAGCACTATTAGTCCAGTGTCTGCAACCAGGCTTTTGACATCCGGTATCAAACATTTTAAAATCTGCTAGCTGCCTCCAAGGATCAATTATAAACTTTTGCAAACTTACCAAAGAGTGAAAGGATGCCGCAGACAGTCCAGACAGTCAAGGACATTCCCACACTGCCTGTGTTCTCAAGTATTCCTTTGGGAGAGATGAATATTCCTGCTCCAATGATGGTGCCAATTATAATAGATACCCCTCTCAGAAAAGTGATTTTCTTCTTCAGGACCACTTTGTCTCCCTGCACTGCTTTGGTGTTGCACACAGAGACCAACCTGCCATTTGATTGTTCCTCCAGGTAGCTGCCATTAGAGATTGTCGGCACAGTCGTTTTCCTAAACATGCTTCAGCACTGCCAACTCACTCAAGACAAAAGGATTTTTAAAAACTCTCCAACAGGCACTTCAGGTATTCCGTTCCTCTCTGTGCCTCCGTGTAGCTAATTGCTTTTACACACACACACACACATACACACACACAAACTCACTGCCTCTAGCCTTTCAACCCACTTGTGCCAACAGGTAGAAAACTCTTCAGGTGTCCTGGACTTTTTTTCCTTTGCTGCTATCTAAATGCTCCTCAGGAACACCTGCTCTTTCACACGGCTACCTTGGTGTCGTTCTGTCATTGGAAGCCAGCTAGCTTCCGCGTGGACTTGTATATAAGCTCCTGTCATACCAAGTTATTCTTGCTGAATGATGATGCAAATTCTCCAGGTTTGCATCAGCCATAGAAAAGAGGCTGTAGCATTACTCAGCACTTTTGCTGTTCACAGTAACAGGATGTTGAGCAACTAACCTGAGCTCCTTAGAACGAACAAAGGGAATCCTAACCAATCCTTAGTTCGCGAGTTACTATGGGCACACTTCCAAATATTTGCTGACTCCTAGTGAGAAACAAATATCTGTTTTCAAACACAGCACTACATCGCTTGTAAAGGGAAGAAAACAAGGAGAATGTTTCATTTTTTGGTTCCTTTCCAAATGTTTTATCCCAACTATTAAAAGCTAATAGAGGTGATAGGCAGTCATTTTTGTTTGATCTAATTCAACATTTTATATCAAGACCACATACATTTACATAAGCAAGTGCATGCCAACCTTTTTGCTACCCCATGTTGCCTAGCAACACAGCCGAATCAGACAAATGGAGCCTGCCTTGCTCCTATAATTTGGAAGTCCTCATATGTATTTTGGTGCTTGCATGTCTTTTTAATGGATCCCTCAGTGATGAAAATGCTATTTTCAGTCATAATGAAATCACTGTACCTTGTACCCCTACTTCTTGTAAAAATGACCCGAGGATAGTGTCACTGAATGCAGGAGAGGTGGGATTTCAATTACAGATTGTTCTTAAACAGATTGATTGATTGATAAGTTCATGCATTCTCATTGCTTTGATTTTGCTGCTGCTTCAGCTGAGTGAAAGTGTGAAAAAGTAAACATGGCACAATAAGGAGTGCCATGGTGCCCGCCAACACCTTTCCTAGTGCCCACCAATGGCTTTTTCAAAGTGGGTGAGGCTAGGTTGGGCCTTTGCCCATCAGGCCTTCTGATTGGCTGTGAAGATTAATAGGCATTGTGTTAAACAGAGCTTCTGCCTGAAATGTTGAGGAGTTACTAATAGAGTTAGACAAGTAGGGGAGCTGCCACCTCCTTACCCCCCGCCTTTGCTTCCTCTCCTGTCTCCCACCCTGTCTGCCAGAAGATGTAGTGATGGCCACAGGAATAAACAGCTTTAAAAGAAGATTGAATAAGGATAAGTCTATCAATGATTACAAGTCATGGTGACTGAGGGGAACCTCCACATTCAGAGACACTAAGCCTCTAAATCCCAGAGCCAGGAGGCAACATTAGGGGAAGGCTTCGGCCACTATGCCCTGTTGTTGGTCATCCAGAGGAACTGGTTGGCCACTGTGTGAGACAGGATACTGGTCTAGATGGACCTTTGCCAGCAGGGCTCTTATGGCTTTATGTTCACCCCTTCTCTCACTCACTCACTCTCTCAGTCTCAGAACAAAGTTTGATTCCAGTGGCACCTTTAAGACCAACAAAGTTTTATTCAAGGTATAAGCTTTTGTATGCAAGTATCTGGAGAAGTGTACTTGTCTCTCTCCTTACTCCTTTCCATAATTCTTTTACTCTTTTCCCCTCTTTC